TCGTCCTCGCTTCATTCGCTCTCAGCCTCCCCCGTGCTCCTCGCCCTCCAACACTCCTAATCCTTCACCAAGTTAGTGGATGGGGGGAGCAATGGGCTTCATTGCGATTCACAACGTCTTCGCTGTTCCCCACGTTTCACCCTCTTAAGATGCAGAGGCCGCATGGCCCACGCGTGGAGCTAGCGCAGCACCAAGGTGTGCAAGAGCCACAACGTATTTCGGATTGTCCGTGGGACCCCGCACCCCAGCCCACGCCTGTAGCCCCGCTCACGGACGAGGAGCTTGAGGCCATGATTGGCTAGGCCGCGAGATTGTCTTCAGAGGGCGATCTAAAACTGTTGGGGAGGGGGACATGCATCAGGAACGTCTTCGCTCCCAGGCGTCACCGTCTCCCACGGTCCTTTTACTTAACACCCTTCCCGCCCTCCTTCCCTCCTTCCCTCCCTCTCACCCTCTCTCTCTCTCTCTCTCTCTTTCTCCCTCTCTCCCCCTCTATCTCTCTCGTTCTCTCTCTCTCTCTCTCTCTCTCTTCCTCTGTCTCTCCTTCTCTCTCCCTCTGTCTACCTCCCCCGTTCTCCCCATGTAATTATAACTTCCCTGGCAAACAATGTTTCGGATTGCCAGCCGCAAACTGCCCCAATCCTTGCCAGCCCGTCACGTGGCACCGCTTTGAGCCGCATCTGATGTTTGTTTGGATGCTGGCGGTGTGCGCTAAGTGTCACGCTTTAGCGAACTGCCGTGTCGAACATGCCCTCATGATCTTCTCGCCCCCTCCTCCTGTGGATGCGTTCAGCAGCGGAGCGTCCGAGATTATTACACTCAACGGGAAGCGGGGCCGTAATAATCGAGCACGAGGGCCACTGTAAACATGAACGCGGGGATTAAAGCAGCACGCGGCGGGAATACGGGAAGGGGACGGACGCCTAAAACTAAGTATACGGATGGACGGCGATCCATTTTCAAAATGTTCTCTCGATTGGGACGCCCCCCAGTGTGTATATATTTCGACAGGGTTCAATTGCGCAACAGCTACACAGATGGAGGGCTGATCTTGTGCAAGGCTGTGATTCCTCAACAATGCCAGGCCCACGGGGCGTTCGTCCTTCGAGGGGGCGCTTCTGGATGTAAGCGAGAATGTTTGCAGTGCCTGACAAGACTGCTCTTGCTCAATGCTGTTTCGTCCCCCCTCCACTCTCCCCTCTCCTGCATCATGTTCCTATCTTTTTCACCTACTCCTTCACTTCCTCCTCCCCTCCTCCTCCCAACGTTATTCTTCCTCCTCCTTTCCTCCTCCTCGCCTTATTTTGATTTTTCATGAGAGCGCGAAAGGAACGTGCTCCGTTGTACCTCGGCAAAGGCTCGAACAAGTCGCACAACCGCGCCCGACAAGGGCAAAGCGTCAATCCAACAGCATCAGAGTGAATCCAAACGCTCAACGGGCACAACCCTAACGAGGAACACCTGACATCAGGAACGTCATGTATTTTTTGTGTTCAACACCCAAAACAAGAAAATCCGAAATTTCTTGTTTTCTTGTTTTCAACACAAAACATAAGAATTTCTTGTTTCCGAAAAACAAAAACCAGAAAAAGCTCCTCTGGGATGTCAATCCATCGGGGCCCGTGCCGCTGTCTTCTCGCAACCTGCGCAAAATGCGCAAAATCGACCGGGGCCGCGTCGGCGTCAAGCTGGTCATCGAGGATGTGTCCGGCAGGCGCGCGGAAGAGAACTCATTGTCAACTTCAGGCGGGAATTCAAATTTCGCACGGAAGGTATCTGCAAACATGTCGGCCTTTGCACGAGCAGACAAAGTCCGCGACCCATCTTGCGACCGAAGCAGAGGACTGCCAACGGGCCCCTTGCCAGCACGAAGAAGGAGATAATCGCATGGCACCCGCCATTTCTTGCGCGATGGTCGCGTGTCCAGCATGCGTGGCCGAGTCCGCTGAACGCACTTGCCGTAGTGGCAGCGGAGGCCCGCAGAGCACTCATCTCGTCTGCGCACGAACTGCGGGGCCCCGTAGGCTTCAACCTCTTTCCTGACCAGCTCCAGGCGCGCTTCGTTGATCCACGGGTGGGTGGACTTCTGGGCAACAGCGGCGAAGGTCGGGGTGGACTTTTCAGCAAGGAGAGAAACGCACAGACACAATGAATCGTCGATTCCACTGAAAATATGAAAAAATGGGAAGTGGGGGGGGGCGGCAGAAACCCGGAACAGATGGGAAAATATGGATGGTACTTTTTATTTGCGTGCAATTATGAGTGCGACCTGGGGCTCCTTCATTGTTCGCTGCGCCCGACGCGATGCCCGTGGGCTTTCCTGCAGCAGCTGGCGGCGAGCACGATTCAAAGCGCGACTTCCAACCCATATCTTGGAATTCGGCGCGAAGTTGGGGCCACGGAGCCCGTTGAAACAGACATTGTTCTCGAGCGGTCGGCGCAGAGCGCGGCGCGCGCATGGCCGTAGACACGCGCGCCACATGATGGTCGTGCTCGATAATGGGTGGAAGGACCTCGCACGCAAAGCCAGAGGGCGCATCCGTCAAGACAAGGTTCAGCAAGCTGTTCCCTCCAGTCGGTTTTCCAACTTTTCCCTGTCGCCCAACGCGGTTGCAAATGTCGAGCAGGACCCCCCCCCCCCCTCCTTGGATGCACCTTGCGAAGACAAATGCAACCACTGACTGCGATGAACGTTCGCGTCGCCCATGGCGAGGGCGCCCGCGACCTGCTGCCGGTAATCGCGCCGCTCCGTCAATAGAGGATGAATGGCGTCGACCTCTCCCCGCCCAGGAGGCCCGCGCCAAACGGCCGACAATATTGGGCCAATGCTCGCGCGTACAATGCGCCAAGACCGCGAAAATAACTGCGCCGCCACCTTGTCTGCCGTCGCGGCGGTCGAGTCGCGGCGCAACCGCCGCAGCCGTGCAGCGCGGCATCGGTGACGGGCCCGCCCGGCCAACTCTCCGTGATTGCCGCGAGATCGGGGAACTGCAGAAGTTCAAGTCGACCCTGAAGTTCGGCGTGGTGTGAAAGAAAACCACGCACATTCATGCGCACCGTGGAACTATAAAGTTCTGGACCTGGCGAATCGGGCTCGGATTTGCGCGAGCCTTCGCCAGGGGGGCGCTGACGACCCGAATTCTAAAGCCATTGGTGGCGCCGAATGTGACGTGCAAGAACAAACCGAAGACCACGACGTCGTTGGCGTCGGGGTGTCAGCTGCGGGGGCCGCTCATCTGCCAGAGACCGGCGGGCGTGCCAAGGGGCGTGAACCGAATGCGAACGTGGAGGGGTGCGTTGATGATGGGCGGCCCCGAATAACCCGTACCGTCCGACAAGGTCCGCAAATGGTTGAAGGAAAACCCCCTTGACGTCGTTTCCCTCCTGCTTGAATGCGGCGGCGCCGTTGACAGTCACAAGCCGGCGCCGAGAACCGTCGATTCCCACTCAATCTTGACCTCCTTGCCGGAGGTCAAAGTTAGAGGCTGTGATCAACTTCTGGGCCTTTCGATCGCATAGTCCCGTTTGCGTTGCATTTCCGCGCGGGCAGGTTTAATCATCAATTTCTTGCTATCAACGATGAGCTCAGCTCTGAACAACCACACGCCCGAGAGGAAAACTTTCACGACCTCGACGCTGGAAAACTCGACCCAATATCCGGGGGAATACGATTCGTGCGCGGACCCTTGTACTCATTACCAACTCCAGTGGGGCGAACAGTCTCGAAATGATCCTTAATGAAAGCCTCCATCCTTGCGATGCGGGCGTCGGCTGCGAAATCGTCCGGCCAGCCTACGAAGCCGACGCGACGACAAGCAACATCCATGCGGTTGACGCTGCTCTGCAACTCTTTAATGGTGCGCGTGTCGGCGTCAGATGCAGGTGAAGTAGATTCTAAGATAAAACTCGGGAACCCAATTCATACCATGGGTCCTTCAAGGGGTCGACGGCCTCTGAAACGGTGACTTTAACCTCCGCCTGTACTTCCTTTTTGAAAGCATCAGAATTCCCCTTCAGGTCCTCAATGTCCGATTTCAGAGCCATCTTGTCCATTTTCTGAGAGAACGCTGAAATGGCATCGAAAAACCTCGATGTCCGGAGACTGAGCGGAGCTACCCTGAGATCCAAATCCAGGTGTCGTCGATACCATGGTCTCCTTCAGGCGCTTGATCTTCTCAAACTTCTCATGGACAGAAGAAACCGAAGGTCCTCGTTTAGCAGCCGATGCAAACGCACTGTCGAGGTTAGCCTGAACATTCAGATTCGCCATGAAAGCGCTCAGCAGGTTGGCATCGGAAAGCGAAATAGAAAGTAGGTGAAGAGTGATGGGGAAGGAAGAGGGCTGGAGCGAGGTAGCGCGGAGTGCTGTCTGCTTGAGCCAACATGGCTTGAGCCAAACCTGCGCGTGGCCGAACGTCGTCGCCAGCACGAGGTTAACATCGGGTGAGGATCAATCGGGAATCTCTGAGATCCCGCGGCTCTGGAGGATGTCTCGGGCACCGCGGCCGTCTCAGGGCGTTCTGGAACGCTCTGCGAGCGCTCTTAGAGGCTTTTTAGATGGGGTCCGCGAAGATGGGGTCGGAAAATCTCGCCGCATCGCCGATAAATTGGCGACGCATCGCCGATGCATCGGCCATGCACCGGCGACGTCGGCGATGCATCGGCGACGTCGGCGTGGAGACAATTGGGCCCCACGTCGAGCCGCATCACTGATGCATCGCCGATGCATCGGCGATGCGGCGTAATCCTCCGACCCCATCTACCCCGACCCCATCTAGGAGGCCTGTAATTCTAGAGCGCCCTGGAACGAATTTATCTCGGGGATCTTCTTCAATCCAGACCCGGATCAGTCCAGCCTTGAAGAATCCTGCAAACTCCTGCGAGATCCTGCACCCAAACCCAGGTCGACGCGAAGGATCCTGCAGGAGCCTGCACCCACGCCCGGGTCAATGCGCCCCTGGCCGTGCAGGATCCTGCAAGATCGACCCCCGTCTCAAGGCCCCCGATCGCCGCGTGGAACTGAAGGCTGGGCGCTTTGTGTGCGGCCTCCTGCGCGTCAGCTCTCCGCACGCGTGTCCGGACCTCCGCGTCTGCGCGAGCCGCCTCGTCGATCTTCGGACTCGAGTGGAGCCTTGCCGCCGGGCGGCGGCCCGCAGAGGGCCCGCGCCGCCTCGGCGACGCGGCCTCAGGGCGGCGCGGCCTCGCCGCGAGGCGGCGGCCGGAACTCCCGGCCGGAGGCCATGCGCCGAACCTTCTCCTGGCGGGCGCATGGAGGGCCTCCTCCTCCTCCTCCTCCTCCTCCTCCTCTTCTTACTTTTCTTGTTCTTATTATTGTTATTTGTGTTTCTTCTTAGTATTGTTAGTATTATTACTACTTTTACAATTACTATTATTATCATTATTATTATTAGTATTAGTGTTATTATTAGTAGTATTATTATTATTATTATTAGTATTATTATTACGATTATTATCATTATTATTATTATAATACTTCTTCTTTCTCTTCCTCTTTCTCCTCTTCCTCCTGTTCCTCCACCTCCTCCTCCTCCTCGTCCCTGTTCCCTCCTCCTCCCTCCCTCCTCCTCTCTCCCTCCCCTCCTCCCTCCCTCTCCTCCCCCTCCCTCCCTCCTCCTCCATACCAATTATTCTTAGTATTATTCCTATTATTCTTCTTCTTCCTCTCCCTCTTCCTCTTCCTCCTCCTCCCTCCTCCTCCTCCCTTTTCCCTCCCTTTTCCTCCTCCCTCCTTCCTGCCCCCTCCTCCTCCCTCTCCGCCTCCCTCCTCCTCCTCCTCCTATTATTCTTCTTCGTAGTATCCTTCTTCTTCTTCTTAGTCTATTATTATTATTATTATTAATAGAATCGTTATTATTGTTATTATTCTCATTTGTATTACTATTCCTCCTCCTCCTCTTCCTCTTCCTCCTCCTCCCTGCTCCCTCCTCCTCCCTCCTCCTCCCTCTCCTCCTCCCCTCAACCTCTTCCTCCTCCTCCTCCTCCTCCTCCTCCTTCTCGTCTTATTATGATTATCAGTATTATTAATATTATCAGTGTTATTATTATTAGTATTCTTATTTGTCTTAGTGTTATTCTTATCATTCTTCGTATTATGATTCATATGGTTGTTGTTATTACTACTATTATTATCACTAGTATTATTATTAGTAGTAGTATTATTATTAGTAGTAATCGTATTATTGGGGTTAACATTATTATCATTATTATTATTAGTATCACGGTTATTATTATTATTACTGTTATTCTTCCTCCTGTTCCTCCACCCCTTTATCCTCCTCCCTTTCCGTCCTCCTCCTCCTCCCTCCTCCTCCCTCTCCTCCTCCCTCTCCTCCCTCCTCCTCCTCCTCCTCCCCCTCCTCTTCTTCTTCTTCTTCTTCTTCTCCTTCTTATGATTATTAATGATATTATCACTATTACTACAATTAGAATTACTATTATCATCACCCTTATTATTCGTATTATCATTGCTAGTACGTCTTATTTTTATTATATTGATAATCAGACTATGATCCCTCTTCCTCTTCCTCCTCTTCCTCCTATTCCTCCTCCTCCTCGTCCTCCTCCTCCCTCCTCCTCCTCCTCCTCCCTCCTCCTCCCTCCCCCTCCTCCTTCTCTGGCTGGGAAGCAGCGCAAGTGCGACTCCCAGTTAGCGTGCGCAGCCCCATCCTTGCCCTCAACTGCCAGATGTTTTGGATTCGCATGCGTATCTTGAGAGCGTCTCTTGACGCAATGGAGGCTGAAGATCAAGTCCGTGATTCCGAACAGTCTAGTCGTAGGATGGGCAGGCATATACGTGGGGGTAGGAGTGGTCGCCGTGGACCTAGTGGCGAGAGCCGGGTTGAAGGAGCCGCCATCCTTCCTGGTTTGGGCCCCCCCCCCGTCTTGGTGCCGCCGCCGCCGCCAGCTGACAGTGTGATCTCGCTTTTCGGATCCAGCCAGCAGCTCGACGAGACTGGTCGTCGGTGTCGTCGTTGCCGTGGGTTCGCTTCGATATCTCTGACGCGAACCTGGAGGCAGTCCAGTTGTTTCAACCCTGTGATGTTGGATGACGTGTTTTGTGGGCTTCCTGGGGGTGCGAGAGTACACATTGCTGGGGGGTGGGCCGACCCCATCCCACACCATGCGGTTGCATCAAACCCTGAATATCTGGTTCTGCGCGTGCTGTGGTATGTATGGGGATAAGCAGCTTCTGGGCCTGGGGAAAGGGTGCACAAATCAGGTCACCCCCACCCGTGCCGAGTATTTGAATCGTCTTGAACGGGGGCTATTCCCTAAGGTCTTTAGTAAGGCCGAGCTCATGCGAAAGGCTGGGGCCCATAAGGGTTCCCCATGAGAGATGCACGGACTTCGTCCTGGAACTCCAGAACTCCTGAACTCCTTCTTCTGCTCCTGCTCCTGCTCCTGCTCCTGCTCTTGCTCAAGCTCCTGCTCAAACTCTTGCTCCTGCTCCTGCTCAGCTTCCGCCTCCGCCTCTTCCTCCTCCTCCTTCTCCTCCTTTTCCTTCTGCTTCTCCTTTTCCTCCTCCTCCTCTTTTCCTCCTGCTCCTGCTCCTGCCCCTCCTCCTCAGCCTCTGCCTCCGGTTCCGCCCCCTCCTCCTACCCCTCCTCCTCCTCCTCCTCCTCTCCCCCCTCCTCCCCCTCCTCCTCCCTCGCCCCCCTTCCCCTTCTGTTCCCCAGCCGATGGACTCGACAGATATCTGGATATTCTTTCCAACGCAAGACAATTCCATAGCAACGGTGTACAGGCAAAACTGGAAGGTGCAAGGAGTGTAAGTGGAGTGGGGTCGGGAAATATATGTGGCGGGCTCGGGATTGTCAACGAATGGGCGAGATCCGGCTTGAGCCAAAGCGGATGCGGCGGCACTTGATCTCGACTTTCGCTACAGTCCAGGGGGGCTCACTAGACTAATAAGCCAGAGGTGCTTATCCCCAGTGCCCCGGAAAATTGTGGACTGGAAGTGCGAGAAAGTGCCGACCGCAACTCGCCCGGCTTAGATTGGCCAAGTGCCTGAAACTTGAAACTTGCCGGCGCTTGGCTGGCTGGATACTCGCTGTCCTCTGCCAGGCACCGGCTCCGTCGTACTCTGGCCAACTGGCGTTCTCCCGTGGAGCTGCCGCCGGCACTGCGAGAAAGAGCATAGAAACGCCAGTTCAAGCAGGCTGCTAAACGAGCTCCCTTCGCTTTTCGCCGGTGCTGTAGAAAAGGGAAAGGGAGAGAAAGAGAGAGAGAGGGAGAAACACAGAAAGAGAGAGAGAGAGAGAGAGAGAGAGAGAGAGAAAGAGAGAGAGGAACCCGCCTATTCGAGCTGTCTTTTCGGGGGAGGCCTGGGACCTGTTTCTCGAAGCGGGATCCTCCCTTCGAGCCTGGAGCGACTCGGTTTCGGCCGTGAATCGTAACATCCCAGCTGAACGGCGCTACACTTAGCCAAGTCCGATTTCGTAAGACAATCCACCGTCATGAAGGGATGTGGCATCCATCTTATCGGCGATCCGATCCGATCCGTGGTACCACGAATCACTGCTAGATCTATAGCCGCTCTGCGATCTGATTTAATCCCGGACGTGAGTTTGGAGAGCGTGTCGTAAATACCCTTAGCGTCGACTACGGACACGTTCTTGGTGGATCTGGGAGGGCCTAAAACGTGACGCTGGTCCTTGAGGAGAATGACGAATGGCCCCAGGTTCCCTCGCCATCGCTCGTTCACCACATTTCCCTTGGTGACGTCCAGCATGAGAACCTGAAGCCATTCCGCTTCTCCCAAGGCGCTTGAAAGAGCTAGGGTCTCGCCTGCCAGGGTGGAGGCGACCTGCCTCTTCAATTTCCCGGACCTTCAGGCAACTGGGGTCACTCTAGCTCTCGAGCCGTGCGCGAGAGAATTGTCTGCAACGTAAACTTGCCAGGCCTCCTGCGGGTGCTGAAGTCCCCCCCCCCCTTCTCTTCGGCCCCGACTCCCCCGCAGTCGCTGGCCGTGGCCAGCGCGAAACCGTCAGGCTTGAAGCCAAACTACGATGGGAACTGGCGCAGAATGGAAGCCTTTCCAGCGGCCTCAGCTCGGGTTTCCCGCCGCACCCACTGACGCTTATACACGCGGGATCTGAAGGCCGCAACTTCTCCTCCCAACAGGGGGGCGTCGCGATTTCCCCGGCGGCCGGAGGCTTGCGGAATCTTCTGGAGTTGTTCAAGAATGCACCTTTCCTGGCCCACGAGTATCCTGCCCCCCCATCGTCCTGAGCCTTCGGCCGATGTAATCAACCCCCTCTGAGTCTAAACGTTTCATCTTCCAGGAGGAGGATTGTTTCTGGAAGGGCTAAGTAATATTTTCTCTTCCTTCCTCAAGCGCGATTGCCCAGTCGTCGACCTCCACGAGGACCTGGGCTCCCAGGTTGCCCGCGGACCTTCGAACGAGCCCGCGTGGCTCCAGGCGAGTCCGCTCGAAACCCTGAGTCTCCGTGAAATTGGCCGTGGTCTTGCGGAATGCCAATGGCGCATCGTCCAGACCGTGCGCGGGTGCGATCAGCCCAATAAGGGATCCTGGTGGCACCGGGGCTCCGTCGCACGGCTCCCCAAACGCGCTGCCTGACTGACAGAAGGCGTTTAGCCCCCGATATATATATATATATATATATATACACACACACACCTGCATGACTAGCCCGTGCATGAGAGCAATCACAAGAAAGAGCATCAGAGACTCCATGCGCGGCGTGGAAGCATATACCTGAAGCTCAGCTGCATCTTCGTCTTGATGCCTCCTTGCGCACCATCTGGATTTAGCTTCGCGTCTAGAGTGAGTCCCCCTTGAGGTTTCCATCTCCGAACCCTCCTGCTCGGCGCGACCCCCTCTTGGGGAAGGGTTTCCTGAGGGCCGCGGCTTGGTCGGGGGGCGAATGAGAACAGCTTTGGCCCCCTCGGCTATAGCCTTCCACTCCGCGGCGTCGGAAGCATCAAATCCTTTCTTTTCCTCGAAAGACAATCTCTTGCACTGGACTTCCGCCCCTCGATTAACCAACAGGGAGAGAGGGCAGTGTCCGTCCGCGTGGGGAACGATCTCCACGTCGGCGTTTCCATTGGTGTAGTTTTCGACAGAGCCGCTCCATCCTTCTAGCTGCAGCTCGCGATCGAGTTCTCGAAGAGCGTCGCCCTCCTCGCTCAGGAGAGTCAGACTGGTTTATCCGCCCTCTCTCCTGGGCGAGTGAGAACGATTCCTTCCAGACCTCTCGATGTCCTGAATATGTCGTCTAACTCCCCCCCCGTTGTTCCTCTCCGAAGGGCCCCCCGACGTTCGGGCTGCCATCCGCCCCCTTACCTCCATCAAGTCTCCTAAGGCCTTCCGAACTCTGCAACGGGCGCACGAGCCGACCGGAGTCGACTGGCTCCGCCGGGCGGTGCTGCGATGGAATCAGACAGAACAAGCCTGGGAGCGCTGACCGTTGGCTCCTCGAATTCAGATCCTCTGAAGACTGAGGCGTCGGCTGAAGAGCTGGCTCTGCCCCGTTTCTCGCCTTGGGCAGAGGCGTGCTTGCCCTTCTTTTGGTCTCTCCCACCGTCTCCTTCGGCGTTCCTTCGGCTCTCTGGCCGCGATCGCCCAGAAAGAAAGGAGTTCTCTGAAACGTCCTGCACTGATTCTAACCCCGAGACCGGGGGGCGGGTGTCTTCCGAGGGGGCCCCGAGTTCGCCCCCTTACGGCATCGGCGGCAGACCGTCTGCAGACCCGGAGGAGAAACGATGGGGAAGGTTCCAGCTTGCCCCCCAGGCCGCCGTGTTCGGGCGGAACCCCCGGCGGAGGAACAGCCTCTCCAGCGGCTGCCACTGGATCTGCTGCCGCGGCCGGCATGACCTCCGGGGGGGAAGCGGTTTCATGGGGGGCGTCTGGGGCCCAAGCGTGGGGGGAGGGGGGCCCTCGCTCATGGCGCTGGTTCCGGCTCGACGTGGACTGATCTGGGCTTCTATGAGAAGCTGCTGAACTGAAGTGTCCGACGTGATTTCGGCGCCTCGCGACTCCTCTGTGGTGGCCGGGCGTGCTTGTTCGGTGGCGTACTTCCACAATCTGGATCTCATCGCGACCCAGACTGAGGCGCCGCTCTGCAGAACAACTAGTCCTGGGCCCACCCAGCGGCCCCTCTGGGGGGCAAAAGTTTGCTGACCGCCCCTCGGAACTCGGCGCCAGACGTAAACCCACTGTCCAGAAACGAAATGACGGCCCCGATGAGATGGGGCGCGCGCCGCCTTCGCCGAACGACGCTGATTGAAGGATTCAAACAATCTGTTTCTGGCATGCCTCCGAATGGCGTCGCGTCGGGCGAACTCGGCGGCGGCCGTGTCCTGGTCCCGCGACCCAGGAAATAGATCATCCGCTTCCACCACGTGAAATGAGTCGTCCGACGCGATGTCGTTCGGCATTCTGGGATTGATGCCAAACGCGAGTTGGCGGGGGGCGCGCCCTCCTCGATGGGGGCATCGGTTCTTGGCCGCTGTGACCTCATGCACCAGCGTTTCGAGCTCCGACGCAATAGTGACGAGAGTGGTCTCGGAGGACTTGACCAGGATATCCTCAGCCCATCCTCCGTGTCTCTCGGCCCTTCCATTCTGCCAGGGACTCTCCGAATCAGTGACGTGTTGGCAGACCCCCAAGTGTTCTAACCCCCGCTCGAAATGCCCCCTGGACTTCCCCCCCCCCATCCGTCCGTGATGGCAGAGAGGGGGTGCTTGAAGGGCCTGGCCCAGGCCCTCATGAAAGCCCTCCAGGCGCCCAATGATGTACCATCGTGCAGTTCGACCACCTGGAAGTTGGTGCCATGACAGATGACGTCGAGAAAGGCCAGCTGTTCCTCTGAAAGGAACAAAGAAGGTGTCCAACGCAATGGCCCTGTTGAGTTCGAAGGTCCTGGGAATGGCCACCAGTCGGGCGCTCGCTGGCCTCGAGTGGGCCGCGCAGTCTCCGCGTTGAAACTCGCCCTGGACACGCATCAAAACCTCGGGTTTCGCTCGCGCCCCCCCTTAAGGAACTTAAGAAACACGTCTTCGTGAGGATGTCCCAGGTTGACATGGGCCTTGCGAATCATCCCGCGGACTCGATGGGGTGATCTCGAACGGTTGGTCGTGGAACTCCCCCAGGGCTCGGGATCCCCCTCTCCAGCTTCGTCTCTCCCCCCCCATCGGCGGGATGCGAGTCGTAAATTTCTGTTCCCCCAATCCTCTTGGCCGTGCTGGCCTGATAAAGACTGGGCTCTGGCAGCGCTCGATCTATGCTCGACCGAACGGCTTCGGCCAGGGCGCGGGCAAACTTGGGGGGTGAACTCTCGCTCTAGCGGCTAGAGCTCCGCGCCAATGGTCGCCAGCGCAGCGCGACCTGGCAAATCGCTCAAGAAATGCGGCGCAGTTCGACAACAACCGGGTAGACTTGCGGAACAGCGAACCATTAGGAACAACAGAAAGCCCAAACCTGCACAAATCGACACTGGTGGTGTCGACTCCAGCTCCTGGAAGTCCCAGAACGAACCTGGCCATTTCGATTCTCCATGAGCTGGCAGTAAGAGGGTGCTCAGAACAGAAATAACTCCATCGCGAAGCCCAGAAGGGCGATGGCATCTTCTTTCTTCCTTCTCTGCCTGGGCGTCGTTTCGAGATGGGCGGTGGCGTTTTGAGCGATCGAGAAAGCGTCGCAGCGGTGTTCCAAAATCATCATCCATGGTTTCTTCTTCCTCATCGCCTCTTCAAGCTTGACCCTGTGCTCTTCCTTCTTGAATTCCCAACCTCCTTCGACGTCGAAGCTGCCCAGGCAGGAGACTCCTGCGAGGTCGGCATAGTGCGCAATCCAAGGTGGAGAGAAGACCTCCATGAAAGCTCTGCTCCTATGCTGAGCACGGAAAACTTGGATATGATTCGTCGTGTTTGTCACTCCTCCTTCCTCCTCTAAACGTCGTTTCTCTTTCCTGGTAAGAGTCTGTCATCGGCCCACAGGTCCCCGAAGAACGCGTCGTCCATCTCATCTCAGAAAAACACAGCGTCTCTCCCCTCGTCCTTTATTCGCTCAACCTCGAACGCCTTCTCCAGTTCCTGGATCCGCGTGGGCTGTATTCTGTGGAGGTTTCGATTGCTAGAGTCTATCCCGGTAGCTGGGCAAGGGCTCGCACCGGAGAGCGGGCTGGCGACCGCCTGCCATCGCGACCGCCTGCCACTCGGACAACCCCCGCCGTCGTGGTTCCACGTCTTCCATCCGGCCTACTGCCGGCCCTCCTTCTGCAGCCGCTTCCGCTCGGCCTCCTTCAGGGCTGGCTGCCTCCTCCCTGTCGACCCATGGGTCTGGCCCCAGTGGCGGTGACGTAGACGGTGGCGCCGAAGCTCTCGACGCCTTCTCTGGGCGCGGCTGAGGCTGCTGAGGCCCCTCCTTCGGCTAGTCGCTCACCCGGGCCAATCGCTGCGCGGGGACCACTGGCGCTGTGGCTGGAGGGGCCAGCTGTGATCATCCCGGATTGCTCGGCATTGCGAAACTGCCGATGGTCGAAGAACAGAGAAGCGCTCCTGATCGATCTCGAATCCCCCCGGGTCTGTCCATCTGCTTTGACTTCGCGCGCCCTAGTGGAGGAGGAAACGAAGGACAACCTGGTTGTGAGGCGGCTGGAAGTCCCGTTCCGTAGCTGGGATACGCTGGCACTGCGGGAGCTGTGCCCGCCATGCCCCATCCGCCTTCCACAGTGGCGGCCGCGGCGGCAGATGGCGCGCCGCACCGCGGCGATGGCATTGCCCCACTGGAGACTCCCTGGGCGGCAGGTGGCGTCCCGATGTGATGCGCCGCAGCTTCTCCCGCTGATGGCTTCGCGAGTGGCTTGGCCTCTGGTCCCGCCTGTTCGCGTTTCGCGCCTGCCCATGGGATTGGATCTGCTGCCCGCTCTGCCTGCTGCTGCTGAGAGGCTGAAGCCGGCGCTGCCTGCTGCCGATGGGACATGTCCACCGTGCCTCGCGTCATGGACTGGACCCTGGCCTGCGGAGTCGCCATGGCCTCCATCTGACACGATACCGTTCCGACCAACTGGGAGATGGAGTTCTCTTGCTGCTCCTGCTCGGCGGCGATCTGCTGCAGCAGCCTCATCGTCTCGGACCCCTGATCCTCCGGCTCGCCCATGTGCTCCGAGGCGGGCCTCTTGGCTGGTGAGGGCGCGTCTCGGCGCTTCTGCGCGCGCCCCTCCCTGGCCTGCAGCCCCGCGTCATCCACGGCGATATCTGGCTGCTCCGCCTCGACCTTCCGATGCAAGTCCTGCGCCGCGTTCGGATCGGTGGCGGCCGGCCATGGCGGTGGCGTCCCTGCTGGCGTCTCTGACCTTGGAACGCCGCGCGGGGGCGCTGTCGCCGCCGCCAAGGCTTGCCAGTCGAGATCCGCTCCGCCCAGCTGAGCGAACCCCTTTCCACGCAGGGGGCAGGCGGCGCGCTGCCTTCTGCATGTGCCATATGCACGTCAGCTTTCTCTTCGGGTTGGACGTGTCTGGCATGATCTCTTGGTAGGCAACGCGCGCGGCACGCAGGCCGCAGACCCACCGGCGCCCATGTCCATTGCTGCCGCGCTCGGCATTGATTGGCATGTGTCGGTAATGGCTGTACTGAGCGGGAATCACTCTCACGCGTCGGCTCCGGTTCGTCGGCCAGAAGCGGCGGTTGATCATGATCCGACCGAACTCGTCCGCGAGCTTGGAGGGCCAGAAGATCGTGGCGCCCGTCAAGGCGGCCCCGGCTCTCTCCGTCCTGGTCAGACCCTGAGGAACTGCCGTCCCCGTGGCGGCGCACGTCCACTGCTGTTGAGTGTCTCCTAGCTGATCTCCCATGGTGCTCGGGCGCCCGGCTCTCTTCTGAGTCTCCGTGGGCTCCTTCTTGCCCTTTGAGCGTCGACCCGCGCTCGGGCCGTTGACTGATCCGACGGCGGCTGGTATGGCAGCTCCCTCTGGTGACCTCAGGGTTGCTGAATGTCTGAAAGCTGAAATTCCCTAAGGCCTGGGCTCGAGCCCTCGAACCGAACCGCCGATTCATCAGCGACATCAGGACGACGGCCCCCAGACTCCCATGACGTCGGCCACGTTGAGACCGCTTATGTTCCCCATCTTGAGGTCCTCGAACCTCTCGTCCTCCCGCGTCTCGATTCCTCGTCGTGTCCTCCCGAGTCCGGTACCTCGATGCACTCCTGTCTTGCGTTTCCTTCGGCTGATCCGGGAAGGCGCTAGGTTCTTGGGGCCTCGCTTTTCCCGGAAGGGGCGTGGGCCCAAGGTTCTCTTTTAGTAGGTTTACCCCCGGGTCTGACGGGAAGAGGGCCGGCGGGTATCTTTTGCAATAAATAACAAGTGGGAAGAGGGCCAGCGAATTAAAATTGGAGGATGTCCCTAGCGAAACGCTTGCTGTTCAGAATGTCTTATGGATGTCTCCAGCGAAACGCTTGTTTTGTGCTATGGATCGCCCTCTCCCGGGGACCTGAATTCAAAGGATCTCTCAAGTGAAATGCTTGAGGTCTCGAGCGAGACGCTTGGTTTCACGCCTCCTGGTTGCCCAGACAAGTGTCTAGCATGAGGGTTTGTTGAGGATTTCTCGAACCATAAGCTTGTTTTCACGTGTTCAGGTCGCCCTGGCGGATGTCTAGCATGGGGGTGCGTCGAGGAAGTCTCGATCGAGGCGCTTGTTTGCACGTGTCCAGGTTGCCCAGGCGGATGTCTAGCGCGAAGATGTGCTGAGAACGTCTTGAGCGAAACGCGTGTTTCCACGTGTCCAGGTCGCCCAGGCAAAGCACGGCCCTCGGCACGGTACATCAATGTCGATACCTTGAGCATTGCAGTTTGGCATGTTGCCTGGCGCATTCCGCGGGGCGTCCCGTGGCGAGTCCCCCTGGCACGTCGCGCGGTGCACGTCCATTGGCGCGTTCCGTAGCGCGTCCCCTTGGCGCGCCCCGCGGTGCGCGCCCATGGCGCTCTCCTGGCGCGTCGCCCGGCGCGTCCCTTGGGGCGTTCCGCGGCGCGTCCTCCTGGCATGTCTCCCTGTCGATTACTTCTGGGGCAGCTGCCATCTGCTCAGGCTGCTCGAGTTTAAGATCCAGATCATGTCGGTCAGGACTCGGATGCAAAGAGGACTCGATCCACAACGCTATGATGAGCACAATCGCGGAATGTCACATGGCAGCTCAGCACGGCCAGCACAGCGCAGCCGTCCGCACGGTACATCAAGATCGACACATTCAACATTGCATCTTGGCGCGTCCTTCGGCGCGTTCCTTGGCGAGTCCACCTGGCACGTCGCGCGGCGCGCCCCCTGGCGCGTCCCGCGGCGCGTCCATTGGCGCGTTCCGTAGCGCGTCCCCTTGGCGCGTCCCGCGGCGCGTGCACATGGCGCGCCCCCTGGCACGGCGCCTGGCGCGCCCCTTGGGACGTTCCGCGGCGCGCCCTCCTGGCATGCCCCCTCTGTTGATTATTTCTGGGACAGCTGGCGTCTGCTCAGGCAGCTCGAGCTTGGAGATCCAGATCACATCAGTCAGGGCTCGGATGCCAGGGGGGGCTCGATCCACAACGCTATAAAGAGCACAATCGCGGCATGGAACATCGCAGTTCAGCACGGCCAGCGCAGCGCAGCCCTCGCCACAGTACATCAAGATCAATACCTTCAGCACTGCATTTGCCCGTCGCCTAGTCAAGTGTCTTTGAAACGTTGCCATGCCTTGCATGTATATATATATATATATATATATATATATATATCTTTCCGGGTTCGTGGGTCGTTCATGTTTCATGTGGGGCCTCTTTACCAGGCTCTCGGGTGCTCTGAGAAGGGCGCCCAGTCCCAACGGGCCCCCTCTTGGGTTCTTGCAGCGCGCTGGATCCCTCCAACGGGCCTTTCCCCTGAAAGGGTTCAGACTCGTCGTGAACGGACAACCCCCTTAGACTGGGTTCTCCTCTGTCTGGGCTCGACAGGATAGGAGACAGAGCCTGAGATTGGCCTGGCAAGGATGCGATGTCCATGTGCGTCGACGCGCTGTTGCAATGAGAGCCCTCTTCCCTGAGCTGAGGGCGCTGCTTCAGCATCGCAAAGGGGGGCCTGAAATCTGCTCCGGGGAAAGGGCCTGGACATCGTCTAGACGCATCGTCCTGTGCCCGGGCGGCAGACGACGCATCTCGGCCTTCGCCCCGAGGCGTGGCAAATCGATCTGAGTCTTCTCTAAATCGATCTTGGCCCCGAGAATTCCCTGAAAACCTACGGGTAGAAGCGGGGGGGCGTCCTCTCTGAGTGCGTCGAGCTCGATCGCCCCGAGCTCCCCCTGGATTCCGGTGGGAACCACGGCCGCGCATAAAACCTCGGTGCCTCCTCCTACCCCGCGAGCACTGGGGCTGCGAGGGGGGCACTTCTGGAAATTGCAAACCTACTTTGCTCCAAATCTGTCGGCGCCGCTCTAAAGCCTTAAGCTGAAGCCTCAATCAGGCCCTGTCCAGCGGCCGTGCCCACTATCATCTCACCTGGAGGCGCCGTCATGAGCGTGGCCAAATTCTGATCGAAGTCCTCGTCGCGGTCCTGCGCTCTGGGTCGAACAGATTGGCGAACGCGTAGAGCGTGGCCCCGACGTTCGCGACGGCTGCTGCGGCTGTGCATGACCCTTCCGCACCGGACGCTCACGCGCCCAGTGGCCCTTCTGATTGCACGTCCTACATCGCGTCCGTTTGCTGAGCTCAGCGATCGGCAACCTCTGCTTGCGTGGACGCTGAACGCCGGAAGCTGATCCGATGGACCCCGGCGGCCTTCTCGAAGTCGCCTGTGGTTTGTCCTTGCTGCGGTCGATGAATTTCCTATCGACCTTCATCTTTCTCTTCAGGTCCCTGTCCTCCTTCCAGGTTATGCGCCGCTCGTTTTGCATGGTCGCGAAGGCCTGCGGCAACTCGTCATCGAACAAGTTGAGACCTTCGGGCGCCAGATGCACCTGCTGTTCGCCGTCTCTGTCCAGTGAGGAGACGTCGTCGCCATCGAGAATGGAATCTTCATCCTCACTGACAGCGGAGTAGACCGCGGGCTCATTTCTGGGGAAGCTTGTTTCCACGGCGAACGTTTCTTCCGAAATGAGAGGTGTTCTCGGCGCGTCACATCAATTCCTCTGATGGCGGCCAAAGCCTCTGAAAATGAATCCTTGGTCTTCGTCGTCACCTTCGTCAGCTGCTGCCGGCGCTCGTCCAAGCCGACCCTTTCTTCCAAGAACATAAACTTCCAATCGTCGGGGGCGGGCAGACCGAGCGTGGCGACTCTGTCGAACGCCGGGTCGAGACGAGCTGCGTACTCTGTGAGTCCTTCGCCCTGCTTTCTCCTGAACGAAAACAAACATTCTCTACCTGCTTTCCGCTTCTCGTCGTCTGTTTTCTCGCCGGATAGCAAGTCAAAGCGCTCTAGATTTTGTCGGCGCCCTGCTTGGAGGTGATCAATACATATGGCAAAACCTCCATTTTTCGTTGTAACTCCAGAGGGAGGACCTTCAGGATGCGGTCCGCGTGCTCGTGGGCCGGCACATCGGTAAGCTGTCTCCAACGGTTGAGGGTCCTGCGCCGAATTTTGTCTTCATTCCAGCTTGTCCAGGGCTCTGGTCCGGAGAAGTCTTTCCCTCTATCATCCCAAGACTTTTTGTTCCAGCTGGTTGTCCAATCGTTCCATCGGTGGTCACTCCAGCTGCTCCAAGACTCCCACTTCTCCTTCTCGTCCTCGGCCGCTCTCGCCCAAGGATCTCTCTGCTCTGGCCCGTCTGGCTCGGTGCGACCTCTGGTCCGTCTATCGCCACTCGAGCTCGACACTTGACCTGGTCCTTTACCCTCCTGACGATCTCCTCGAACTGCTGGTCCGTCAGAACTGTGGACGTTGGTGGCGGTGTGGGAGGTGACGTTCCCGGCGGCGCTGCCCGCTGAACCACATCGTTCTTCATCTGCCCACTGTCTCGCTGTAGCCGCAGTGACCGTTCTGTGGCCTCCTGTCGATGCGCTAGCTCAAGAATTTACGTCCAGCGCCCTCGACCCCATCTCAGTTCGTGGACGAGCCTCCTCAGAGGCTCCGCTACCACTGTTCCCCAGCCGATGGACTCGAAAGATATCTGGATATTCTCTCCAACGCAATATAGTTCCACAGCCACGGTGTACAGGCAACACTGGAAGGTGTAAGGAGTGGAAGTGGAGTGGGATCGGGAAATATAGGTGGTGGGCTCGGGATTGTCAACGAGTGGGCGAGATCCGGCTTGAGCCAAAGCGGATGCGGCGGCACCTGATCTCGACTTTCGCTTCAGTCCAGGGGGGCTCACTAGACTAATAAGCCAGAGGTGTTTATTCCCACACTTCTTCCCTCCCTCTTCCTCCCTCCCTCCTCCTCCCTCCCTTCTCATCCCACCCTCTCTCCTCCCTCTTCCTCCCTCCGTCCCTCCTTCCCGCCCTCCCTCCGTTGGGATGGGGGCCGTGGCGTTGCGTGCAGTGTGCGAAATGCTGCAGGGGTCTGGGAGTCGATGCGGTGCCCTGGTCCAGTCCGCGCAGGCCCTTTTGAGACGCCCCTGACAGGGACAACGCGTCTGGCTTGCTTCCAGGATCGCAGGCGTCCGAGTGTCCTCTTGCTGTCCGCACTCGTTGTGGTGCCTCCACAGCAACTCCAGGACGATGATTGCCGAAGGGAGCCGACACAAGTCAGCTTGCTCAGGCGCTGTCTGCTCCCCTGTCCGAAAAGAAAAGGACCAGGATTTGCTCGAAGTGGCATTTTCGAGCCAGCCAGAAGTGGTAGGATATCCAGTTGTACTCACAAGGCCCTCGCGGACTGGTTTGTGAGGGGGTTGTGCCGAGGGAGAAAAGTTAGACCACATGGGAGGACCAGCAGCAGGAGCAGCATGGGCTCTCCCCCAGTGGGGGTACCCTCTCCCTCTCTGTCTCTGGATCATCGGGGCTTGTTACTTCCCAAGCTTTTCAGACCAAGATGTCCCCCATGGTGCTCAAGGTTGACCAATCCAACCCACATAGCCCATCATTCCCCCGAGGCCTACCAGGGCAGGGTGGGACGAGTAGGCAGAGCGAGGAGGGGAGGGAGGACGAGGCGGAGAGGGAGGATGAAGACGAAGAGGAGGAAGCGGTGGGCAGGGGGCCGCGATGTGGACGAGGCGGAGGAGGAGGGCGAACACGAGGAGGAAAAGGAGGAGGCACAGGAGGGCAGAGGCCTCGTCCCAGCCACCCCCCCCTCGCGTGCACCCTCGTCGGCCTCGGACAGGCGGCGGTCTCTCAGGGAAATTGTCAAGGGGCTCGGCTTGCCACCCGGAGGCTGGTTCTTCCGCCGCCGTGCCGCCGTGCCTCCCCTCTTCTTTCCCCCTTTTTACAGTCGGACCGAGGTATAAGATCAAGGTCGGTTCGGGGAGCGTCGTTTACTGCAGGTCCGTGCCGTGTCGACCCTGGCGTTGGTTCCTGACACCGCGCTGGATCGTTCAACCTTGAACGATCGGCCGTCTCCGCAACGTCCGATCGTTCAACATCGACCGATTCTGGGCCGCCGTCGGCGTTCAACGTTGAACGTCGGCGGCGGGGTCGCCGCCGGTCGACACGACGCGAACCTACCGTAGTGTTTTTCGTGGCTGTCGGATGTTATTGTACACCCTGGAACGAGGGCCCCCAAACGGCACATGAGGGCCTTCAGGGTACGCCCATCAGCCACCAACATGGCCCAAGGCGGCCACGACATGGCACAAACACTGCCCACGAGGCCCTGAGATGGCCCCAATCTTCTCCAGAGACAACACAAGAGGATCCCAAGGGGTTCCCACAACGACGCACGATTGTGGCACCAAGCTACCCGAATTTACCCTAGCTTAAAACAAAACTGCCTCCTCCTCCATCTGCCGTGCAGGCTACAACCTCCTCGCACTCCACCTCGCCCTCCCCATCATCCTCCTCGTACAGCAAAATCCTGGGTCCTGGTTTGGCTTAGGACACCGCGTTGACCGTCAAAGCTTGAAGGATTTCCACTTTCGCAGGTATCCGGAGTCTGTCGATTCTATTTTTCGTGTGGACTTCGCGCGTAAATTCTCGAATGTGGACTCCGCGCAGGGAAACGGCCCCCCTGGAGGGCGTTCGACCTTCTTTGAGCGCCCGTGCTCGCGTCGCTGCCTCCTCCAGGCAGCACGAACCTGGCGAGAGCCTTTGTAAGGGGGCACCGGGACACACATAAAGAGACACACATCACAAGATTCCCTTGTATATTTCAATGTTTTTTGGGTATTCGTCTGCCCCCCCACTTCCCGTAAGCATGTTTCCATATTTTCCTGTGAATCGACGATTCATGGTGTCTGTGTGTCTTCCCCTCCTGAGCCTTGTTCGCTCAAAATCTAAATCCGAAAACCAGATTGCGTAACCAGATTTCCTTGTGCGTTCAGCCGTGGCCACGATGGACCTTCCCGAAAGCCAAACAAAGACGACAATACTCAACTGGGCACTAAAAAGGCAAAGACGAAGGGTAGTCAAACACGAAGGCTGGACACCAACAGAGACAAGACACCGACAAAGACGAAAACCAAGGCGTCGGAGCCGCGCCAGCGGCGACAACCTGCTGCATCTTGTCCGCCTCGCCCCACCCCGCAAGGAGGCGGTCGGTGTCCTGCCCCTTGCGCGGTGCCCGGCGTGCCTTGTTGAGCTGCTGCTGCCAGCCGTCCAACCGCTTCCTTTGAAGCAAAAAATGGACCGTGACGGGGAAGGAGGGAGTCGGGGGCGGCCGAAAAGGGGGCGTCCAATAAGGGGGGGGGCGAATCATGGCCGGCGGCATGTGCGCGGCCAAAGGGGGGGGCGCCAGGGACGTGGCGAAATAAGAGGAGCCGCCGTGGAGGGGGTAGAGGGGCGGAGGCGGCATGGGGGAATCTGGTGACCCGGACGGGGGCCGCAAGCCCAACGCGCCCGACGCGGCCGGGAGATTTGTTCGGCCGCGGGAGGCAGCGCAGCGGGAGGTGCCCGAGGGGGCCATTGGACGGCGCCGTCGCGGGGGAGCTTCTGGCGCAGAACAGGCAGACAGACAGACAGACCGACAAGCCGGGGGCGTCCAGGAGGGGGGCGTCCAAGGAGGGGGGGGGGGGGAAATCATGGCCCAAGGCACGTGCGCGGGCCAGGGGGGGGCAGGCAACGTATTTTGAAGCAGGAAGAGGGGCCATGAAATCTGGGGGAATGTCCTGGCCCCCCTAGTCCTCACCCCCATCTTGGACGCCCCCGAACAAACAGACAGACAGACGCTCTCTCGGGCTCCCACGTCGCTGGGGCGCCCCCCAGCCACGCCTCGAGGGCGCGCCCCAGCCGCGCCTGGGGGACGAGGGCCATGACGCGAAACACCGCGAACCTCGCGTGGTGAGACGGCCCAGCTGTATCTGGTGCGATCGCGGGGGCTTCAGAAAACTGCGCGCGCCCAGTCGCGGTCGCAGACCACTAGCCAGGCGCGCCAGGGGGGCGAGAGAGAGGGAGGATCATAGTAATTCCAACAAGCATCATCATAAGAAGAATAATCAGGAGAAGCAGAACATAAGAAGAATAACGCAACGGATAAGCATAACAAATCATTTGAATAATACAAACAAAAACAAGAAGAGCAGCGCCTTGCGAAGGCTGCGATACCCGGGCTGCTACCCAAGGTTTCGCGGTTCACCTCGAACCTCCTCGGCCCCGGACCCCGCGATTTCCCCGCTCTTTGCGGGTTTGGCACGAACCCTCCTGGCCAAGCGGCGCAGGGGGGGAGGGGGGGGGGGGGGGCGGAGGGGAGGGGCAGGAGCCCCCCCTACTTCGGGCCGGCTGCTTTGCGGAGCTGCTGGACCGCGCCGCAGCTAGCCTGGCTCGCCGCGCGAAAACAGCAGGCCGGCTCCGCCGCGGCTGCCCCTGCCAGCCCTTGCAGCGAGGGCTCCGCTCTGGGAAGCTGCAGCCGCTGCCGCGTCGCCGCCCCCCTGCGCGCGCGCGCCCCCCATAGCGCAGAGGCCGCCGTCTGGGCGCGCCGAGAAGCTGGCGCTTCGGGGGCCCGCGGCGTCTCGCGGCGCGGCCGGCTGCGGAAGGGGCGAGCGCTCCAGCAGGGCTGCGCGCCGCATCTTTTGCGCCTTTTTCAATGGCGAGGCCTTGCCGCGAGAGCGCGCTGAGCGCCGCTGCCGAGCCCCCGTCCGACCGCCAGGTCCAGCCCTCGGGCTCGAAGCCCCTGGCGGGCGCTCTCCAGCTACCCTGCGGCGCGAAGTGGCATCTCGAGGCGGTCGGCCAGCGCGCCGCGCCCGAAGCCCGGGGGCACCTCTGCGACGGCGGCCGCCCAGGAAGCCAGGAAAGCTGCGCAGAGGCGAACTGGGCCCCGACGCCCCCTTCCCTGGCGGGCAGCACCAGCAGCGCCAGCGGTGCTCCCCCAGGTCGCGCCGTAGCAGCGCCTGCTGCTCCATCCTCAGGGAGCGCTGGGTCGCTGACCCTGCGCGGGTCCGCAGCGGCGCGCCGGCCGTCTGTTTGCCGAGCCCTGGTTTGTTTGGCTTCGGCAGCTCGTCAGGTCCTTCAGACGGCGCTCCGCCCCCCTGGGCTCCGCCGGCTCCCCCGGGCTGGCTGGCGCGCGCGCTGGCCAGGCAGCTGCCGTCGAGGTAGCAGCAAAGCTTCGCCGCCGGGTCCAAGCGCAGGTTTCGAAATCGAGCATAAACACGCCCAGCGCCTCCCTCTGTGCCACTGCAAAGCCAGCTTGCGAGAGCGGGCCCCCCTGGTCGAAAACCCGCGCGCTGTCGACAGGGTGGAACTTCCCCGGGGGGTCTCTCCAGAGGTGCTGCGCCGAGCCTCCGTGCCATGCCCGGGGGGCAGAGGCTACCTCCGCCTCGTGCGAGGACGTCGCCGCGGCGGCTGGCTCTCGCTCCGGCGATGGGAAGGCGGCCTCGAAGTCCGACTTGAGGAAGGCCGCTGTCCGCCAGGTCTCGGCTTGGCCCTCTAGCTTCCGCAGCAGCAGCTCTGCTCCGCCAGCCGCCTGACACCGCGCTGCCTCTCCCTGGCGGCCTGTCGCAGCTGCTCCCCCTCTACGCGCGCGAGCGCGCGGGGGCCGAAACGCCGCGCAGAGGCGCTGACTAGGGGCGGCCTCGCCCCGTCGTCGCCGGCGCGGTGCGCTGTGATTTCGCAAGTGCGCAGAGCCTGCAAGGCGTCGTCTGGCAGCGACCCGAAGGCGACCCCGGCGATGGCTTCTGACAGCCGTCCCAGAGCTTCCCCGCAAGAGCCCGCGGCCGCTAGGTGCTCAAGCCGGCGGCCTAGAAGCCCCGGCCCCGTCAGCTTTGGTGGCCGCCAGAGCAACTTCTTCGAGCGCTGTCTGGGCCTGGAGCTGTCCTGGGCGCCGTCTGCAGCACTGCAGTGGCGGGGGGGGGGGGGGGGCGCCCGCGCTTTTCCCGAGGTTTCCAAGGTCCTCGGCGCGAGCTTGGTGCCAGCGATTGCTCGGGACGCTGTCCCATCCTCTCCGGCTGCAGCGAGGTCGTGGACTCTTGCGGCCATTGTTTGTCCATCTGTGTGGCCGCGGCCGCGGGCAATCTTTTTCCATGCCGGACGGAAGTCCAGAGCGCCGTCCACTGGCCGCCCCAGAAGCAGGCCAGACGCTCTTCGAGACTTTCTGCGCAAATAATCGCCGCCCTGCTGTGGCTGAGAAGGAAGAGGTCCAGCGTCAAGAAAGCCCCCCACTCCTCGCTCGCGTCCTCATTGCGCCGGGCCTCTCTCAGGTCTTCCAACTTTTTCCTCCTGGCCTGGAGGGTGGCCACGTGGAACCGGTCTGGAATCTGCGCGTAGGTGGTGGCCCCCACGCGTAGGATCTCGCCCCGGGAAAGCTCGGTCCAGTGGGTTTTTTCTTGCAGGCGTGCCTCCTCCCAGCGCGGGTGCGACGGCGCAGCCGCCTGCTCATTCCCCCCCCCCACCTTTCGGGTCAGCTGGGTGAGGATTTGGCTGTGCAGCCCGGGTTGTCTGCGCCTTTGCTGCCTCTGCATGTTCGTCGGTGCCCCTCCCGCACGGCCAAAACTGAATTATTTTTTTGGCAGGCGGCCTTGGAGACAAGCTGCGCAAAACCACCTTGAGCACGTCCGGGCGCCCCACGTACAAATCCTGAACTCGTCCTTCTGGAGTGTCACCCCGCACGTCTTGCGAGACGCTGGCCTGGTCGAGCGAGCTTGGACGTCAACACCCCAAGGTGGTGCTTTCTCTCTCTCTCTCTCTCTCTTTTTTTATCTCTGTCTCTCTCTCTCTCTTCCTCTCTCTCTCTCTTTCTCTCTCTCTCTATATATATTGATGGAGTGGCGCCCACCTCCATTGCATTAGCGTTCTTGTTTTCCTCGTCGATCCTCCTTTCACGAGCCTCCGCTCTCGGCTGTTGTCGTTGCCGACCTCTCGCGGCTGCTGCGCCCGTTGCGGCGGGGCTCACGCCTGCTTCCACGAATGCTGAAACAAAGATGCGTGTACCGAGGAGTGGCGCGACAGCTGTAAACATGAAGGTTTCCCGAGCCACACCGAACAGTGGTAACGAGGGCTTGGGCTGGGCGCGCGTTCGCGCTTGAGCCGAACTGACGGACAGATAGACAGACGGACAGACAGACAGTCGAACAGACAAACAGGCAGGCAAACAGACGGACAGCAAACAGACAAACGGACAGACAGACAGACAGGTTAACAAACGCTCCACTGTGCGCTGGGGGGCGCGGTCCCTCCAGAAACGGAGCGGTGGCGCTGAGGCGCCGGGAGTTCGAGATTGCATGTGGGGAAGAATAGCAATTCGGTGCAGACGTGATGCGAGATGGGTATGGCAGAGGCGCCACAAGGGGAATACCCAGGATATGAAGGGGGAGGGCGGGAGACGCACAGGGGGAAAGCAACCAGGAACAAAAAAGAAAATGAGGGGGACGACGACGACCAACTCCTGCAGAGCATCGCTGGAAAGCTGACACGATGGAAAACTGCAAGCCCGATCCACACCCGAATGCTGATGCCTAGTGCCCCCGAGACCTCCGTAGTTGGATCCGCCACTGTGCAAGGAAGCGCCCAATGAAACACCATCAATACGGAGTGTTGAATGCTCCTTCGGACAAGAGGCCAAGACCCCGAATTTCTGAATTGGTGGGAACATTTTGCTGCCGTCACCATTTCTGGACCTGGCCGACGTGGAACGATGAGAAAAAACAATGTCCTGCCCCTCCACTTCCAATCCTACCTCCTCCTCCTCCTCCTCCTCCTCCTCCTCCTCCTCTTCCCCTTCTCCCCTTTTTGTAAAGCACTCCCCGCTTCCCCCTTCCGTCGCCCTTTCCCCGCTCCATCCTTCCCTCTCTCCTCCACTCCCCACGCCGAGTTTCTCCCGCCTCCCTCCGTCCTTCTCCCTCTGCACCGTGGGCTCTCCTCAGCCTCGAGTGGAGGTAACTCTTCGCGTGCTTCAGGTGGAAATTGAAGAAGTTGCGGAAGGTCATCACCGGACGGGCCAGGGAATGGAGCCTGTCCTGCCGTGGGCGCCCATGGATGCCGTCCGGGAAGAGAGCAGGCGGGGCGGCGGCAGCATCGGCGGGAGCAGAAGCAGGGGCCAACAATACCAGCGGAAGCGGGGAGGGGGAGGAGAATGAAGAAGCGGACGGGCAGACGAGGACGCAATGCACGTAGAAATGCAGTTGGACCTGGGCCCAGATAGCACCCCTCAAGAACATGAGGCCCTCCGCCGGCCATAGCAAACAGAACATCCAAGGGTTAACCTTCCCAGGGTGCACAAAAACGTCCAACAAACACAAAAAACATCAGGGTGCCCTCTCCGAGCCGGCCTCGATCTTTGTAACTTCGGTCCGACTGTAGCGGAGGGGGGGGAGGAACAGGGCGAGGAGGAGGAGGAGGAGGAGGAGGAGGAAGAGAAGGCAAGGCAAGGCAAGGCAAGGCAGGCGCTCGGGGGTCAAAACCCCTTCTAAGGTACACCGCTTGTCGGACCCCACCGAACAGGACCTTCCCTGCTGGGTAGGAAACCATCGGCGGTGAGGCGCGAGAGCCTCGGCGAAGGACTCCACCAAACTCCCACTGCTCGCTCCTTGTACAGCCGTGAAGAGGCCCGAACACCGTTCCTCATGGCTGCCCAGAAGAGAGCAAGGCGGTTCGGTTGAACCGCGGTGCGTGGGGAAGCGTCCAGGCCATTCTGGGCGGGGGCCTCCCAAGAGGCGGCTGACCCCAGACCGACGGAAAGAGCAACAAAAAAAGGCGATGGGGCGAACCTGGCATCAGGCCGATATTGCAGTAGACGCAAAAACCTTCTACCCTCCCCTGTCCTGTGCTCAGCGCCGGGCTGGCGGCGAAGGACACGGCCCCTCCTACCCTTCCCGATATGTCGGGTGGTGGGCTGCACAAACAGGTGAGCACAGGACAGCAGGACATCAGGCGGCAGCAGCTCCCACACTAATTTTACAGTGGGCGCGAAAAGGCATGCCGTCTCATCGGGCTGGCCTAAAATCTCATTCGATGCCCAGCCCGTCGGTGAAATTGATTTGGCCGGAGAAAAGGTGCAATGGGGGCCCATCTTCTCTTTCGAGCAACTTCCGAATGCAGCGCAATGCATGTCTGCACTTTTCGTGCAATCGTAATATCCGTCCTGAAGGGTCGCAATACCTCCTGTCGTTCCAGTTGCTCTCTAGGTTCCCACTGGGATGGCGTCTCGAGCCTCTGTAACCTGAGTTATAACAGGCACTTGTGACGTTGGAGCGCGTCAGCTGCATCTTTTACAGAGCGTACCTGTGCAAAGAAAATCGGTATCGTAGCCATCGGGCGCACGTTCGATGACATGAGCATGCAAATGGAAGACGAGTAGCGAATATCGAAGTGCGTCAGATGCCGTGGCAAGAAAGAACAAGGATGTCGCGGTTCAACCATCGCAACGTAGACAATACACGGTAGCAAGATAAAGTGAGCAAGGCCCCTGGCGCTGAGCCAAGACTCCAAAACGGACCGTCGACGCAGGAACGTAGGAAGAAAACAATCGCACCGTCAGAGCTGGTGTCGGAGGCTACCGCACGTTACAATCCTGGCCCCGTCGAAGCCTCAGGTGGTCCTCGTTGTCAAGCCTTACCGTTTGTGCCTGTAGCCTCCTGCGGGGTCTCTGGTGTCCCTGCAGGGTTCCCTGCAACGGATTGCCTTGGCTGCCCATTGTCCCGTCGAGTCGTGGTGGGTCGGTGCGCCTAATTAGTCGAAGAGGGCCCCATATGGATCCCCCCGACCTGGTACCAGCCTGAGCCCCGTCGGAATAGCCCCTTTTATGGAGTCCCTGACTGAGGTCCACGATTCTCTTCCGCCTAGCTTTGCGACACCGGATGGCCTTCGACAGCCGGGGATCAAAACAGTGATATGAGATAGCACAACTAAGAAAAATAGCTTCCCGATATAATTTAAACATAGCTTCTGCTGAGCTCCCAAAGCGACGGGAACGCGCGCGCGGGATGGGCAACGTCAAGCCCGCGGCGGCGACAAGCCGAAACAAACCACAGCCCCGCGCGCCAGAAAATCAAGGAAGGAATGCCGCGCGGGTTCTGCGCGCGACGCCACGGCGATGGTCGCGGCGCGGTTGTGCACGCGACACACCCGAATGCCTCTTCCGCATCTCCCTCCTCGGCCCCTTCACCAGTCTCCCCCTTCCTCGTCTCGGCCCCTCCTCCTCCTCCTCCTCCTCCTCCTCTTCCTCCTCCTCCTCCTCATCCTCCGCCCGACCCCCCCCCCCTCTACCCGTCGCGTGTCCATGTCGCCGTGACGCGGCGGCGCCTTCCCCTGCCGCGAACCCCTCGCCCGCCTCCCGCCCCTTCCCCATCCGCCGTCGTCGTCTCCCTCCGCCGCCCCCGCCCCCTCCTCCTGCGCTGCTCGCCCCCTTCCCTCCTCCTCCTCCCCCTCCCCCTCCTCCTCCTCCTCCTCCTCCTCCTCCTCCGCCCTCCTCCCTCCTCCTCCTCCTCCTCCTCCTCCTCCTCCTCCTCCTCCTCCTCCTCCTCCTCCTCCTCCTCCTCCTCCTCCTCCCCCCTCCTCCTCCTCCTCCCCCCCCCCTCTTTCCCCCTCCCCCCCCCGCGCCCGTCGCTCGCGCCAGGCCTGGCCGCGCCGGCGCGCGTCGCGCATTCGGGCCCGGCCGCGCCGAGGCGTTCCATCGTCGGCCTGGCCGCGCCGGCGCGCCATTGTTTATTATTGGGCCCAGCCGCTGCAGCGCACTGCGCAAATCGGGCCGGGGCCGCGCCGGCGCGTCTTTCGCGTCCAAACCGGCCGCGCTGGCCCCGGCGGACCCCGCCGCCTGCCGCTGGCGGGCCCGGCCGGGGGGCCCCCGGCGACCCGCTGGCGGGGCCGGGGGGCGCCCCGGCAAGCCAAAAAGAAATTCCGATATAGTTGCTTAGGTCATCGACATAACCTTTTCTAGCTTCTTCCAGCTTAAACTATAGCTCTCTGTAGAAACATATATGTTTTTTGTCTAGCTTTCAAGTAACTGACTCTAACCTTCAACAAGCATTTGGTAGCTTCCAAGTAGCTCTGGGAAGTAGCTTGTTCTTGCCCTCCCTCTGGGGGCATTGCGGGCGCCCCGGGAGATAGCTTTAAAGTAGCGTCGAAGCAGTTTGAAATATATCCGCACTAGATCCCCCCCCCCCTTCCGGCGGCCCGCCGGCGCCCGGAGACGCCGCGCGGGAGATCCGGGCCGAGCAGCGCCAGCGCGCTCTGCGAATCTTGGGCGGCCGCGCTGGCGCGTTTTACAATGTCAGGCGGGGCCGCGCCGGCGCGCTTTGTCAATCCGAGCCCGGCCGAGCCGGCGCGCTTTGCACGTCCAGGCCCGGCCACGCCGGCGCGCGCAAACTTGGGCCCCGCCGCGCCGGCGCGATTTGCAAATCCGCCCGGGCCGCGCCGGCGCGCGCAAATCTGGGCCGGCCGCCGCCGGCGGGTCCGCGGGGGGGTCGCGGCGGTCTCCCCGGAAGGCCCCGGCGGCCCCCCGGCGGGCCCGGGAGGCGCCCCGAAATTCCGCCCCCGCGCAAGGCCCCAGATTCACGCATCTTAATTGCGCGCTGGCCTGGCGGGCGGGGCCCCGCCGTTTGCTCGACCCCGATCGAAAAATTACAACCGGCAGAATGCGCCCCGCGCAATGAAATCCGCGGGCCGCCATGCAGACTGCACGAGGGCGCTGGCGCTGCGACCCTGCGTTCACGGCCCCCAACGCTGCGCGCCTGTTCCGCGCAGCGCGGCCCCGCGCCCGCGAACCTCAAACAATGCGGCGTGCGCGACGCGCCCTGCATGGCCGCGGCAAAGATGGCCGCAGCGCACCGCATTCGCAGCGCGCATCCTGATCCACCCGCAAAATTGCCATTGACATGCGTCCTACGCTGGGAATACGATGTCCTACTTGAAGCTACTTTAGAACCACTTTGTCCGACTTGAACATATTATTTTGTTTCTGCGGGGGGGAACTTTTCATGCTTTTTCTAATCCCATATAGATCAACATTGCTGGTTGTTGTCTAAGGGTTCGTCGTCGCAAGCTTACCTCTGCGACGAGTGGCTAATTCATAAATCCCGTAAGCCATGTTGCTTATCTGCCTCTTCTCCCAAAAGGCAGAGAATCTGGGGTCGAGACTGATAGCGTCGACAAATGGTGCCAACTGACTCTCTGAAGGCCATCCGACTGGGGGCGGCGAAAGAGGAGAGTGCAACGTGCCGCTGGCTACCGAGGTTGGAGGGTCAGGCTCTGGAATACCTCTCGTCTCACTCGGCGCAGTCCGTCGCCTCGTTGGACTATCCGCGCCCGCGGCGGAAGGGGGCCTCCACCGCCCGCTCCGAGGCCGACTTGGGCACCGCCCCCTTCGCCTTGGCGGCGCTGGGCCCAAGGGCCCCGCCGCCGTCGCTTCCTCGAGTTTGAACGCCGCGAAGCCGCGGGCCCAGGTCAGGGCAGGCTCTCCGATCCACTTCTCCTGGAGGGTCGCGCCCAAGACGGGGTCGGGGCTGAGGTTGCGCTGGAGCTCCCCCGTCCTGCTGCCCCCCCCATCGCCCCCCCCCCCTCGTAGGTCTCGTTGGCGGTGGGCGATTGGAACGCTTCCTGAATGATCAAGGGTCCGCGCTGGTTGGTCGCGCTGGCTATGAACTCGCCCAGGATGGCCTTGAATTGTCTCTCCATCTCGCCCCCGTTGGCGCCGCTCATGGAGTCGCGCAGCTTGCGGGGGACCTCGATCGCAACGCGCGCGCGCGAAGGGGGCGAAGTCCGCGACGGCTGCCCAGCGATCGCACCTTCGCCCGGTACTTCTTCGCGGCCTGGATGCCCGCCTGGAAGGCCCCGACATCCGATGGGATTAGCCGGAAGTCGCTGGTCGCGAGCGTCATCTCCCTCGTGCCTTGGGCGCTGCGCAGGGCGAGTTTCATAGTCGCGTTCAGCCTCTCTTCGTAGTGACCGTAGTCGTCGAAGAGCGCGCTGCCTCTCGACGGCGGACGGCCGCCTCCGCCCCCCGTCTGCGCTTCCCGCGCCTGCCGTTGGGCGGCCCTCCCTGACGCCGCCAACTCGGCGCTTGCCCCGTCGTATGCCTCCTAGTTGCCAGTCTGCTTTCGGCAGCGCCTGCGCCGCCATCTTGAGCTGTCTTTCGCAGAGCGGGGGGCCTTCGTGATGGGCGCGGGCGCGGCGCTGGAAAGACGGCAAGTCTTGGGCCCCATGTCCGCAGACGTCGCGCTCGAGGAAAAACGGTCGAATATGGTCGTGGCCCACTTGCTGCGGTCAGCGCAGCGCGTTCCATGTCTCTCGACCGATCTGCGGCAGCGGTCAATCGCCGTTTTTCTGTTGTCGACAATGCTAAGGCACCGCGGTCATTGGTTTGTGACCACGAGCTGGGCGAGAAGCGCGCGTTGTGCGCGTCACTCCCGCGCGCCTGAAGTGCCTGGGCTGTCTGGAACTGATTGCCGCGCGCGGTTTCCATCCCCTCCCCGTCGACGCAAAGGTGGTCGCGCCGAAAGGGCCACTCCATTGCCTCCTCCTCCTCCGCTTCCTGCGCCCCTCCCCCCTCTTCTCCTTCTCCTCGCTGTGCTACGCAGCGCAAGATGCTTGTGTCCACTCTTGAACATTGTTGACATCCCGCCGCACAAGGAGCAAGGTCGCTAAGTCGGATGACATGCGAGACGACCACGCATGCATGTTTTCATCTAAGGGCGCAAGCTCGTCAACACCTCGACGGCACTGAATCGCCATAGGAGTGGAAGGTGGCCCAACCCAATCCCCAGGCAATCGTCCCTTCACCCCTGCTAGTCGCTCCATCACACTGTCACCACAGATCGCTGCAATTATGTTTCCGTGGGCTTGTGGGAAGTTGGCCCATTGTTGGTACCACTTGAATCTGCGCGCTCGTAACGCAACCTCTGTCTGTTCCAGTCTCCAGGATTTGAATGCCCTGGCTGTTCTGCAACAGCGCGTCGTGCAATCTTCCCTCGCCCATGACATGCGATCACGGGCCCACGTCCTAAGATATTTGCCAAAAGGCGCATCCAATGCATCGGCCTCGGCTTTGCTGAGCACCATGACTCAGCCCTGCTCCGAAGACAAAACCGACGCACATCATGCGTTTGACCGAGAAGTTGGTCTTTGAGCTCCAGGGTGTACCCGCTTGTCTCTTGGCCAGCCTGATGGCACCGCAACGCTTGTTAACTTATCCTGCCAGGCCTTGGTCAAAAGGGAGGTAGGGGCCGAGGACCCTCATCTCTCGCAGTGGGGCATCGTTTAGCTGTTTGTGACGGCGTAGCGTTCTGGTGCTGTTGTAATTGCCTTGCCCTTTTAGGCACAATGGGTGGTTTGTCTTCGTCGGGTTGGCCTTCCAATTCCCTTTTCTTGGGGGTGTCGTCGAGCTTTTCCATGGGGCTGTCTACTTGTGTTGCCACATGTGTGGCCGAAGCTCCTGTCGGTACGAAATGGGTGTTTGTGATATGTTTTTCCATGCAAGTGTTAACCCGATATCGTGTCCAACTCCAACGATAGGGTGAAACGTGTCATGTCATTTCTGCATTGGGTCGGCTCTCGTTGTGTCGTTCCATTGTTTCACGTACGTGTTGTAACAGTCGTTGAATTGCCGACGTGCCAGCGTAAAACCAATTTGGGTGCCAGGAAGTGTCTCGATCGTCACATCCTCCGTGAAGGTGTCGATTGTCGTCGTAGTCGTTTCTGCTGCCCCCACAGCACGTGCCTGCTTGAAAGCAACTGCCTGCAATAGTTTTTTGGTCCGTGGAAATAAACGCGTTGGAGCAATCGTAGTTAATGTATACCGCACTGTAACCAAGCTACTCGCTCTTCGACTTCGTGGTAAGGACAGTGGCCACTGCGATTTCTCGGCATCTGTGCGGTGGTCCACCCTGTGCCCATGGCTCGTGTTTGGGGGAGGAGGAGGAGGATGGAGGAGAATGGATGAGGAAGAGGATGAAGAAGCGGACAGGGAGACGAGGACGCAATGCACGGGGAAATGAGGAAACGACCGTGGGAGGCCGGTGGCCGGACCGCGGAGGCAGGACCGCGGGGGGCGCCACTCCGAGCCCAAGGGGGGGTGCGTGGGAAACACCTCGAGAGAAGCACGACCGCGAACCCATCGTGGGCAGCGAAAGCGCCCCCCTCCTGCTTCCCATCGAGACTTGTTGCATGCCGCACCCTCCCCGCCCCAGTCAGACTCCACCGCCCGGGCCGCTTCCACTATACAGCAACCGCGCCCCAGGGAGGGAATCTTGTATGCCAGACCCACGACCAGGACCCTCGCTCGCCCCGGGGGCCTCTGGGTATAGTATGCACTTGTTCGGACGGAACCTCCTCGTCATTCATGCCTCTTCCTCTCCCGCCTCCCTCAGCCGTGGACGAGCTGTTGGCTGTCTGTGCAAGCTGGGATCCTCGCAGCAAGCGTAACAACGACTGGGCGCCTGGTCGACGCAGGAGCACGTCCTCGCCGAGGCCGGCATAGCGAAATAAACATTCGGTGGCAATTCATGGGAGCCTCCCATACCATCTGGTCGGCTCTTTGCGAACCGAGCTAATCGACGCTGATCGATGCTAAGTCGACTCGAGTCGACGCTAATCGAGGCTACATCGGCGCTACTTCGTCGACTCCCAGACGCTACTCAACGCCAACCGACGCCAAAGACGGAATTGCGAGGGCATACCAGGCTTCCATGATTTGCTACCGAAGAAACATAGCTTTCACCAGGCGTCGTCGTGGTCTGGATATGGCCCCCGAGGCAGCACTTGCGGTCACAGACGCAGCTAAGCTTTCCGAGCGCCGCGCGGACTTCTTGGGTCGGCGCTGACCCGACCTTGGCGGCGCCACCAGCGCCGACCACAGCGCACTCCGCGCGGCAAGGAGGGGTTTCCAGCGCCGGCCCAACAAAAGTTCGCGTGGAACTCGGGAAGGCTATGCTTAGGTTGGACACGTCCTCCTACAGGCGGGTGTTATAAGAAAGCTAAAGCATATTCAAAAACCGTTCAGCAAATGAGCACGAAAAATTGTCCCGGGATTTCATCTATTCTTCAATACTCCTGATGTAGAGGAACATGCCCGACCTAAAACTATGCCTACGCATGTTATTTGCCACTCGAGCGTCGCAAGATGCAATCACTGAGCACGTCGCTTAAGGGGGAGGCGATGCATGGGCGGGGGGAGAGATGTGCACTTCTGAGGCCCAGAAGGCCCTCTTTTGGCCCTGGAAGGGCCCCCCCCCTTGTGGGGCCCCGAAAGGGTCCCTCTTCTGGAGCCCTCGCTGCCTCCCGTGTATCGCCCCTCCCCCTCTACGCGACGCCCAAGAGAGCCCTTGCTGCCCCCCCATGCATCGTCCCCCCCCTCCCCCTTACGCTTGTGAATGCCATGACAATGGACACCCCATTACTCCGACATTGAATTAAAAGAGTGTTTATAAGCTTGGGGAAAGGCTCTAAACATGTTAAAACCTGTTTTTTTTACACGTTTAAGACATGGTGAACACGTCTTGACATCTGGGAACTATTTGGCAACATGCTTCCTCTCCACTGATCGTCGTCCACAAACTTACGCGACGCCCGACAGAAAAGTTCGCGAGGAGCTCCGGGAAACGATACCTGCGCATTCCGTTTTTGCCGCTCGAGGGTCGCAAAATGCCATCGCCGAGCAGGCGGCTGCTGCTCATCCGGACGCGGGGGGCGTGCGACCTCCCTCCTCCCCATCATCGTCCCTCCTCCTCCTCCTCCTCCTCCTCCTCCTCCTCCCTCGTCCCCCTCAACGTCCCTCCTCCTCCTCCTCCTCCTCCTCCTCCCTCGTCCCCTTGCCCTTGCCCTTGCTCCTCCTCCTCCTCATCCTTCGGGCGCCTCAACCTCCCACGTCTCCATCTCATGCTCGTCGTTTTCCTGCTGCTGCTGCTGCTGCTCCTCCTCCTCCTCCTGCAGGCTCCTCCGTCGCGGACTCCACGATTTGGTCGGACAGGGTGAAGGCGATGAAGCCTGAACGCTCCCCCTCGGGCCCCGTCGGCTACTGTGTCTCTTCCATGTCATCGAAATGAAATTATCCACCTCACCTGTATAGATATCACCACTGGGCAATGTTCGGCCAATGTATTTGCTGTGTCCTGTCAAAGGAGAGATATCGATGTCCATACCCTCGATGTTCACGACGCGTACTTTCTGATATGTCTTCGTTCCGCCGCTGCCGTTGTTCAATTTATTATTTTATGGGGGTGTCGCTGACTATCTGGATGACATGCTTCAAAAATGTGGCAAACAAGAAACTATGTCACCGGCAAACCGTACCTCTGTCATCCGTGATTTGTTCTACTGCTCTGATATTCCAATATTCGCTTTCACCGACTGTGCATTGACTTTCTCTCCCTGCTTTGTCCCACGCTGGATTTTGAATGTTTTGCTTGCGCAATATGCTCGTATGCGTGCTGTTTGGCCACGGTACAAAAAACTTGTTATACTCGGATAGATCCTCCTTCAACCTCCTGGTCGGTCAACGCATTCAAGACGCCCGTGGCCTTCAACCAGCAGGCTGGGTATCTGGCAACACCTTCGTCGAAAAGGGGTAGAGCTTTGCAATGATCGCCTTGATCTTGATTAGCACTCATGGTGCCAATGTAATCGAAGCGGCAACTCGGCTTAGTGACTAGTGTATGACCCGCCGGACCTGACCGCTCCGCGACTATGTTTTCACAAGCAGCACAGGAGTCACAACCAGTCAATGCCCTCGAACATATGGCGAGAGAGCGAAACCGTATAGGCGGTCGCGTATTGGACCTCGTGTCGAAAGCATGAGAGTACTGTCATAGCCCCTTAACTTGATAGGATCAGGGGTTCCATACGAAGCCTCCTCAGTGCGTTGATGCGTCCAAACTGGGGCCCTGACTGTACGCCTTGGTGCCGCATGTAGCAGACGACGAATATGGGAAAGAGCAGCAAATGAAGGAGGAAGAGGACGAAGTCGAAACGGACGTGACCTTTTCGCGTATCGAGGGTAGTGCCCGGCAGTGGGGCCGAAACCCACTGCAGGCAGCAGACTTCGCTCCCCCCCCTTTGTCCAAATCCCCCCCTCCGCCCGACCCAACAAGTAGGTAGGCCTCTTCGGGCCCAGAGATCCGACGCTCGAAGAGATTTGGAGCGGCGGGATTCTGCCGGTCCTCGGCCTCTGGGGGCCCTCGGCGGGCCTCGGGAGCGTGACAAAACGAGTCAGCACTCACGGGAAACCGGCCCCGGGGAAGTGGTCTGGACCTCCAGGGCCCACGCATCGAAAAAACTGGAGCGATGTCTGGGGTGGGGGGGGGGGGGGGGCGAACGGCTCTCAGGGATCGACTGCCCCTGGTCCATCCAAATTGGGGTCAGCCAGGCCGTGCAGGATCCTGCAAGATCCCCCGAGCCCGGGTCCATGCGCCCCTGGCTCTGCAGGATCCTCCAGGTTTCTGGCGCTCTGCCTGACCCCCGTTTGCGTCGACCCCCGTCTCTTGCGAGGCGGGGATTTATCCATATCCACCGCCCCGGAACCTACGCCATGGTGCCCCCGCGGGCGGTGGATGTGGATACATTTTGGCCCCCGGGGGCCCGACTATGTATCCACCTCCGCCGGCTCCCGAGGTCCCCGAAACTTCATCCTCCAAGCGGTGGTCATGTGCAGATTCCCGCCTCGGATCTCCTGAGCCCCGAGCGGGGCCGATGGGGAGGGCGACCGTGTGGTGGACCCAGAATGGGGTCCAGCTGAAAGGGGGTGGTGCAATAGATGTGGGGAAACAGTGTATTGCAAACGAACTGCGCCAGAGAATTGTAGTGCACTGCGTTGTAGACAATGCATTGCGCACGGAAATCGGGCACCGCATGTGCGCCTCGGAATGCATTGCACACCCCAAATCTATGGCAACCCCACAAATCTATTGCACCAAATCTACCCAGACATGCGACAGCCTGATTTTTTTCAGGACGGCGTCCCTCAAGTCCCGACCGTCTCCATGGGATCGGTTTTTCATCCTGAGTCTTTTTTTGCCGGTCCTGAGGCCCGGTGAGGGCCCCCCCGAGGCCGAAAATGGTCAAAGACCTCCCGTCCTGATTTTTGTTACGACGCGATCATGTCTGGGCATTGCACCACTCCCTTTCCGCTGGACCCCGCTCTGGGTCAGCCAGGGACCGGGCATGAGGCGGGGGGCGGGCGGGGAGGCCGACGTTCGGCAGCCGGAACGACCCCAGCTCTCGCAGGTCGATGGGCGTGTCCTGCGCCCCCCCCGCGCCCCCGCCCCCCCACCCTGGGGGGCCGAGGAGCGGCGCGCGGGAGGCAGAGGACGCACGTCGTCGTCGTCGCCATCGTCGTCGGCGACGAGGACGACGACCACGACGGACGACGACGACGACCAGCGACGACGACGAGCGACGACGACGAGCGACGACGACGCTTGCGGGGGCAGTGCTGCCACACACCCTGCTCTCGCCATGGCTCGGGCGTCCATTCCCCGTGCATGTTTCGGCTTCGGGCGCCTCTCTTTCGCGAGAGGGCCCAGGACGCTCCTCGATGGTCCCTCGCCGAAGAGAGATGCACACGTCCGAGCGATGCGAGGATTGCGTACACGTTTGGCTCAGGAGAGCCCTGCAAACCCCGACAATCCGGGGCCTCTAGTAAGCGCGCCAGAAGAAGCGATTGGACCAAACACGGCTGCTTGGTGAGTACAGGGGGAAAATACGTAAACGCCTGTCATGTAAAAATTAGCCTTGCGACGGACCCAAACATGTGCAGTTGTGCGTAACGTGAGCATCGTCTTGGGTACAAATCCTTAGAGGGCCACGAAACGTGTGAGGGTGTGCCGTAATGGGCGTGGGGGACGCATGCGAGAACCGCCACTGGGGCCTTCGGTGGAGCTCCCTATAGGGCCACGAAAACGTGTGAGGGTGTGCCGAAATGGGTTTGGGGGACGCATGCGAGAACCGCCACTGGGGCTTTCGGTGGAGCTCCCTATGGGCCACGAAACGTGTGGAGGCGTGCCGAAACGGGAATGGGGGACGAATGCGAGAACCGCCACTGGGGCTTTCGGTGGAGCTCCCTATGGGGCCACGAAATGTGTGAAGGGCGTGCCGAAGTCTGTGCGGAGGACGCATGCGAGAACCGCCACTGGGGCCTTCGTGGAGCTTCCTATGGGGCCACGAAACTTGTCAGGTTGTGCCAAAATCTGTACGCGGGACGCATGCGCGAACCGCCGCTGGGGCCTTCAGTGGAGCTCCCGAGAGGGCCACGAAACGTGCGAGGGTGTGCCGAAATTGTTAACTGGCGCGGAGAGCAGAGGCACGGAGAAGAGGAGGAAGGATGAGGGAGGAGATAGGAGGAAGGAGAGGAGAGGAGACCAGAGAGGAGAGGAGATGAGATGGGAGGAAAGAAGAGGAGGAGACGGATGCGAGAACCGCCACTGGGGCCTTCGGTGGGGCCCCCAAGGGGCAACGGACAGGGTGGGGTGTGTGCCGAGGGCAAAGGTGGCGGAGGAAGGAGGAGGACGGGAAAGGAGAGGAGGACGCAGGGCACTGTCTCTCCCGTCGATAGAGTGCCCATCAAGTTTTGCAGACACATCCAGCCGGTAGATGCATATCGCCCCTCTGTGCACCCCCCACTGCCACGCCGTGGACATTTACGTGGATGGGCATGTGCACGTGTATGGCGTATGGCGTTTGTGTATGCATTCCCATGTGCATGTGCAAGGGATTGTGTACGTGTACTGGTGCATGTGCATGTGAGGAGACGGACCGATGTGATGTGAGGTGTGGAGGGCGTTGCGGATGCGGCGCGGGTGGGACAGAAAACTAGAAACTCACTTCGGATGTGGGGGCAATAGACAAAAACTGTCGGAGGTCCAGCGCCGATCCAAGAAATCCGCCCGGACCGCCGAAAGCTTCCTCCCGCCATAACGCTCATGCTGAGAGGCGGGGTGCCATCCTAGAAACCGCCCACCGCGCCCGGCCTCATCCTGCGCACCTGTGATTCCCCTCTGCGCGATGCCCGGACACTCTCACGCACATGCGCTGCTGAAACGCATTGCCGAGGAGAGGGCCACTGCCACGAGCAGGGCTGCGCTTGGTCCAGGGGACGCTGCATTTGTAGCAGCCTCCTGGATGGGGTCCGAGCAGATGGGGTCGGAGGATCGAGGGGCATCGCCGCATCGCCGACGTCGGCGGGGGGAAAATCGAGCTCCGCATCGAGCCGCATCGGCGATTCGGCGCGATCTTCCAACGCCGTCTACGCGGACCCCATCTGGGAGGCCTAGAATCAGGTCGGGCATGTCCCCCTACAGGTGGAATTTGGGCAAAAAATAGCCAAACAATACTCCAAAGGGGTCAAAGATAGTCAGAAAATCGTCCACTGACTATTTTTGAACTATTTTTGAATATTCCTCCTGTAGAGGGACACGCTTGACTTAACAACACTCCTGCTGGTAAGCAGCAGACTGCACGGCGACTCACCCCCCTGTGCTTCGACACGTCGCCCCAACCAGACACGCCGAGCAGATTATCCTGCTCTTCCGCTGCTGCCAGCTGGGGCACACCTGGGTGTTCCCGACGCCCCGTCCTAACCCTACCCCCCACGATTTCTGAGGGGGAGGGTGGGGTTCGCTTCGCTCGGGAGCTCCCGCACGAAGCGAACCCCGCCCTCCCCCTCAGAAATCGTGGGGGGTAGGGGTAGGGTTCGCATGTGGCCCCCTAATGTTGGGTTTGACCTGCCCTCTGCCTCTCTCCCTTTCCCTCCGAGGCGAAAACAGAAAGCGCGTCGCAGGCCAGCCCAGGAGTGCGCACGGCGGGCTCGGCTGCTCGTTGGCGCGGAGAAGCAGCAACATGCGAGTCTTACTTCAGGCGAGCGGAACACCCGCGGGGTGGCAGCCGACTCGTCGCCGCCCTCTGCCCGAGAGCGAAGTCCTTGGGCTCGTTGAAGGTGCACGGCAGGGACCCGACCTGCGGGTTCCTGTTGGCCTCCGCGAACTCCTGGCCAGGTACAGCGCTGCCCGCCTCCTTCCCCGTGATTAAGGGGCCCCAGGACACACAAATCCATACACGCAAATAACGGTATTCCCAATATTTTCCCATACTTTCTGGGTTTTTGTCTTCCCCCCCACTTCCTCCTACGTGTTCCTATGTTTTCTGGGTAATCGTCGATTACTTGTGTCTGTGTGTTTCTTTCCCTC